CACCCCCCCCCCTCCCCTCCCCTCTCCTCCTCCCGGGGCAGCGCTGCCCGAAGCGGGGTCCCGTCGGTACTCACCCAGCGGCCGCGCCGTCCACCGAGGGCCGCGCTCCTCCATGGGCTGCGCGCTGCCTGTGTGTGTGTGCAGAGCCCAGCAGAGCCCAGCAGAGCCGAGCCGTGCCTCCCCCGCCGCTTCCTGCTTCCCTCGGCGCCCGCCCGCCGCCCCGGGAGCCGCACGGCTGGAGCGTGACTCACCGGGGGCCGGGCCGGGCAGGGCAGGGCCCGAGGGGGCGGGAGGGGGGAGGCCCCGGCTGGCACTGAACGGCGGCCACGGAGGGGAGGTGGGGGCACAGCCGGGGGAAAGGAGCCCCCCCTATGGGTGGGCAGCACCGAAGGGGATGGGAACCCCCGCTTTGGGGTGGGGGGGGGGGAAGTGAAAATGGGAAGGGAGCAGTGCGCAAAGGGGGTCCCCGTGTCATATTGAGTGTCCGTCACATCGGTGGTACCCATCACATCAGTGGTCCCCATGTCATATTGGGGGTACCCAACACATCGGTGGTACCCATCACATTGGTGGTCCCCATCGCATTGATGCTCCCCCTGTCGTGTTGGTAGTGTCCATCATATTAGTGACACCCATCACATTGGTGGTCCCCATGTCATATTTGTAGTGCCCATCCCATCAGTGGTACCACCACATTGGTGCTCCCCATATCATATTGGGGGTACCCAACACACCAGTAATACCTAACACATCGCTGGTGCCCATCACAATGATGCTCCCCCATATCATGTTGGTAGTGCCCATCATATCAGTGATACCCAGCACACTGGTGGTCCCCGCATCACACTGGTGGTCCCCATATCATATTGGTGGTGCCCTTCACATCAGAGGTACCATCACGCTGGTGATCTCCATATCACATATCATACTGGGGACACCCCTATTATATTGGTGGTACCCAACGCATGGCTGGTACCCATATCACACTGGTGGTCCCCATGTCATGTTGGTGGTACCCAACACATCAGTGGTGCCCATTACATCAGTGGTCACCATATCATATTGGTGGTATCCAACACATTGGCAGTGCCCATCACAACAGTTTTCCCCCATATCACGTTGGTACAGCTCATCACATCACTGGCATCCATCACATCAGTGGCAGCATCACACTGGAGGTCCCCATATCACATTGGGGGATACCCATCACATCTGTGGCACGCAACACATTGCTGGAACCATCACACTGGTGGTCCCCACATCATACTGGGGGTACCCATCACACCCGTGGTGCCCATTACATCAGTAGTCCCCCAGTGCCCATCGTATTGATGGTACCCAACACAACGGTGGTGCCCCTATCATGTTGGTGGTACCCACCACATCAATGGTACCCATCCCATCGGTGGTACCCATCACATCAGCAGTGCCCACCGTGTCAGTGAAGCCCACCACCTCTCAGCACTTTCTCCCATCTCCTTCTTCCTGTTGTATTTTAAATTTTTACAGCACTCTTTTTAAAGAATACGGAGGAACAAATGCCCTTATCAGCAATTCTCACAAGGTATAAAGAGTCGCTTTTATCTCGCTGCCTTTACTAATCTAGAGCGAGCCAATGCCTGTTAATTTTTTAATTTTCCTAGTGAATGCATTTGTGGCTTTGTCAGCATCCATATACACACGCACACATAAACCCACTCGATCGGCACATGCGTGTTCCCAAAAACGGCCTGGGTTTGGGGAACATCCACTCCTGCTTTGCACCTCCCGTTGTCAGATCCCTGTTTCCCAGTCCCTCTCACTTTGTCAAACCCAAATAATTCAGGCAGGGTGGGTTTAATGTCCCCACGGGGGCTGTCACCTGCATCCTATGCCAGTGGCCAGGAACGCTTGAGCTCTGCGCTCATTGCTGGTGGCACCGGGAGGGGACCGCTGTGATGAGCACAGCTCTGCTTTTGCAACCACAAAGCAGTTTCATCTACACTGTAAAGTGCTATGTGTCACACGAAGCTCACCAGGACACCCTGGGACGTGCCACCACCTGGGGACACGGCAGTGCTTTGGGGACACCGAGCAGACAGGAGTGGCTGAGGATTCCTGCACCAATATGTCACTGTCACCACACCAGTGGGGGCACAGGGGGGGGTTCATCCCCATCCCTACCGGGCAGGCAGGGCGAGTGCAGGCTGCCCACACGCCGAGCCTGGGGCTGGGAACGCCAGCACCCGGCCACAGTGTGCAGATGAGATGTGGCAGGCGTGTAACAAGCCATTAGTCACTGTCACCTTTGCCCGGCAGCCACTGGCAGGGTAATAAATCCAACGCTGACTCCAGCAGGCCCGTTCCAGGCCACAGCTCCCAGCTTGCCTCCTTGTGCCGGGCTGTGAGCAGCTTGCAAATGCAGCCTGCACCCTCTGGGGACGCAGCGCTGGGGCTGCGGCACGGCTGTCCCTGGCCCCCCCAGTGCTTGGGGCTGGGCTGGGGGCACAGCATCTCCCTGGGAGACTTGGAGTTGGCTCCCTGCCTGCTGCACCAGGCTGTCCCCAGCGCTGGGAGATGGCATTGGTTGTGGCTGCCTGATCAAAGCAGCATGGCACGGCGCAGCAGGGCACAGCACGGCACAGCACGGCGCAGCAGGGCACAGCATGGCCTGTCTGGACAGCCCAGCAAACCAGCCAGTCCTGGGAGGCGGCAGGCGGGAAGCACGCATCGTGATGCCTCTCCCAAAAATGCTGCAGCTCCTGACGGACGAGGCAGCCGAGTCCTAGGAGCTGCAGCCCTGCCCAGCCCTGTGGGTCCCCCCTGGCCCCCAGCAGGTCCTGCCCAA